CGGTCACGTAAATTTCCAGAAAGAAAAACAAAACATCCTTAATCCTGAAAACATTGTCATGGCCACACTACCATGCTAACGAGGGAGATAAATACGACTCTTACATGATAGCAAGAAGCACAACAAATCCATAAGTGACACATTCCCCCCTAATCAGCCCTAGACTGACCAGCACGAGAAGAAAGGATGATGCCGACAATGAGACCATAGAGAGCCAAGGCTTCAGCAAAAATAAGGATAAGAATCATCCCAACAAAGAGCTTTGGTTGTTGCGCATTAGCCCTGTCACGAAGACATTAAGGAAGTACGTGCAATAGTAAATCACAATGAAAAGTACACCAAAACATAAGACAAGCGCAAATTCTACACTTGTTATGATACATTTCACACTCACGAAATCATGGCAACCAAATCATACATTAGAAGATGAGTACAAAGAACCTCCTAAGGAAAAGAACGAGCAATATCCATACACTTCACTCAATTATATATCATGACACCAGCCCATTTCCACCGGCAAAGATACGTCCCCGTACCCAATCTTAGAGAACTGTACAATGTTATACAAAATAATAAATATTGATAAACCCATAGTTTGATCTACCACTAGAGGCAACACATCAAATGTGCAGACAGATTGATCAACAGATTTAAATATTGTATTCACTAAGCTAATTCAACCCTTCAAGATGGAGAAGCACATAATTACAGTGCATCAAACAATTATTATCCAGAGACTCGCATGGATACTGAGAGTCAAAAAAGGAATATTTTTATGCACAACTTGAAGTTGCTAAAGCTAAAAAGACACCTTGGAAAAACTTAGTAACTCATAGATGAATGCTAATAAAACGAAAAACAAATCAAAACTTGGGATCACAATGTTCAATCATACAAATCTACTGCGGATCAAGGAGGGGATAAATTACCTGACACCAGCATCGCCAACGATCCCGATGGCCATACCAGCAGCAAGGCCGGCGAGACCACAAGCGAGTCCGGAAGAGAGGTGAGCGTAGCCATCAAACAAATAGTAGGACTTGGCCTTAGGGTTAATACCGGTACTAATAATCACAGCAATAATCAAGCCGTAGATACCCAAGACACCAGCCATGACCACGGGCACAATAGACTTCATCACCAGCTCCGGCCGCATCACGCCCATCGAGGCCACACCAACACCGCTCTTTGCCGTGCCGTAAGCCGCTCCCATGCCTAGGGGGAAAAACAACAGAATCAATCGAATTACCGCAGA